ACATCATGATGCAATATTTTTTGCATACCCTTTTATAGTCATGTGACTATCAGCCTCATGAAAGTCAAAATGTGGGTCTTCCACGAGGAGAACATTTCCTTTGATAAATAGTTTCATTCAAGCTCTTCCATGCATGAGAAGAAGCTGTTGCATGTTGCCTTGGTGAATTTTGCCCTCTCCTGCTCTTCACTTTCCTCTTTGTTAGAAAATAAGACAGCAGAACAGAGTAAAATAAAATTGACTAGTATGTATGTATGTACATGTATATTCATAAATACAGTGTGCGTGTGTGTGTGTGTGTGTGTGTGTGTGTGTGTGTGTGTATAGATATATAAATAGAAGATAGAGATAGAAGATAGATAGATAGATAGATAGATAGAGAATGAAAAGAAACCTAATAAACTTCATATTTCCCTCAGAGCATGCATGTGCAAACACACACACACACACACACACATATATATATATATGCACATTTTTACCATCTAGCTAACTCTTAGATTTTAATATTCATTCAGTTTGATTTTAATTGACTGCAATTATCAGCAGGTATTCAGAAATGGAAATCAGTCAAAATTTGTATTAGCTCTTTCAGTGAACTGAAATGTATTTAAATTCTTCAGGAAGAGCCAACAGTTATGTTGATGCCAAGAACATTCAGCTACAAGAGGATTTCTGTGTTAAACATGGAGCTGAAACACAATTAACTAATAAGCAAAATCTATGAACAATAATAGTATGGATGTAATGGAATGCTTTCAATTAACAGCATATAAAAATTGCAAATCAGATATGTTTGGGACTTGGTTTCTAGTTATAACATGCAGACAGCAAGCAGATCAATGGCAGGACATGCAGTTCCCACCTGAATAGATGGAAGAAGACTACCAGCTGGGCTGAAAAGAATTGCCAATTGCTTAAATAAATGCTCGCTTCTGTGGCTTTAATAGCACTTTGATCCACAGAAATCATTGGATGCAGTTTTGCTTTGTATAGTCAGAAGCAATAATATCTCTAACAATTCAGTCAAAAGCAATGGGCAGAACTAAATCCACCTTTCTTTTTCTCTACTACAGAAAGTATGAAATATTCTTGCCAAAAGGTGAACTATCCATGTGGTCAGCCTTTGAAAAGCTGCTCCGAAGCTGCAAATTGCACACACGGTTATACAACTATGCAGAGCAAGTTAACCAAAAACAGAACTAAGACTAATGAACAAAATGCAAAGTTTGACTAACTCAGAAGATAATGTTCAAAAATGGAAAGGAAAAATTTCTGGATGAAGGGGTGGCATTTGTCTCTTTCAGAAAAGAAATCAAAGTAGATTTTTAAATGGATTTTTTTAATGTACAAAATTAAATTATTAAAAATTCATTTAATTGCATTTTATTTTATACTACATTTCTTTCTTTCTGCTACAGCTAAATGTCATCATGATAATCGTCAGCCTATACCTGAGTATTTATTAGTCACATCAAAAATGAATTAATGGCTTTGTCATATTTATATACATTGGCTGAATTCAAGTAACAGAGTAGATGTCAGGTGCAAACAACAGGTCCATCCATAAAGGGTTCAGTTTACTGTTTTATTGCTAAAGCCTTATGTATAGGAATCTTTTCTATAGCATTCAATGGGGGAGGCTGGATTTTGCCCTCTTGCAGAGATTCTAAACCCGTGGTGGCGAACCTATGGTACGCATGCCACAGGTGGCACGCAGAGCCCTCTCTGTGGGAACACGCATCGTCATCCCAGTCCTAGGCCTTCAGCTGGGTTTTATAAAACCTTTTCACTTTAGGCCTCCACCGCCATGTGCAAAAAAAAAAAAAAGATTCAATCAATCAATTTCAAGTTCTCGTGGGAAAAAAAAGATCTCACAAAGTTGGAATTGATTGATTGAACCTTTTAGTCCCACCCAGTCTGCCATTACCACTGCAGCCACGCCCACCCAATTGGCTATGCCCACCCAATTGGCCAGCCCACCCAATGAGTCACGCCCACTTGGCACACGATGATACATAAGTGGTTTTGGATTGCAGTTTGGGCACTTAGTCTCTAAAAGGTTTGCCATCACTGTAATCTAAACTAATCCCCTGCTTGACTCCTCCCCCCTGATTCTGCCAGTCTCTCTCCAACAATACATTAAGTTAAGACTGAAGGTTTGGTGGGAACCTAACTATTGCCTTAGCATTCTAAGTGATTCAAGAAAAATCATCAATCTATTATATGGTTTGTTTGTTTAATCAGAATAAGCTTATATGACACTACTATATTTTGTTAACCTGGGTTTAGCATATTCTATGAATCAGGCTTGTGAGTGATCTATTTACAAAATGAATAGATATACAATTGATTTTTTAAATGTTTACACTAAGAGCCTTGTCTATCAAGTCTTGTTTCTATACAGTCTGAACTATTGGTTTTACTCTGACTACTGCACACATGCAAAGACACACTATACAGAGTGATAGTATTGCACCTATCAAGGCAATTAAAGAAGAGAGACAATAGGTAAATTTTCACATCAAACTAAGCCATGGTATAAGACCAGCTTAGTGGCAACTTTACTGGCATGTCATCTTCTGCCAACAATTTATTGGTACTATTAATGAATTTTGTATTTGGCTAACCAAGTTTAATACTATATATAAAACAGAGAATTCATGCTTTGTCCATACAAAGAATGTCAGGAAACAAAGACATTAGTAAACTAAAAACAGAGCAAACCAAGGCTTCTTCTTCGTGTTTCTTCCAACAAAATGTATCTTTATTGATACATCCCAATAAGCTTGGTTAATCAACGTAAAAATGACTTCTTTGTTCTATTCATGTGTGGATAGAGCTAGGGTGTAACTGAGTGTGACTATGACTCCAGTATCTAAAGGAAAGTGCAATTGCATACAAAATAGAAAACAACATTAGAGTGGCTAATCTTAAGCATCTGCCATTTCATCTGTATCTTAATGTACTAAATGAAGCTGACTCAGTTGATCCAAAATATGACACAAAATCTGTCCTTCTCAAGCATGTAAAGCACAAGCTTCATGTAATGCTAGAACATAAGCAATTAGATTTGTATCATTATTAAAAAATGTCTTTTTTATTCATGACATCAGAGATTTCTTGTGTTGATTTCAAATTATCTGGATAAAAAACATTGTGGCATAAAGAGATTCCAGTTCTAACTTGGAGACAAGAGATGAGAGCAGAAAGCAAATCTATGCCAAATTGATAAAGTTAAGCCAAAGTACAAACAACTGAGCATACAATCCTCAGGACTCAACCACATTTAAATGGCACCTACCCTATAGTCAGTGGTGGGATTCAAGTACGTGAACAACCAATTCTCTGTGTGGATACTGCTTCTGGAAGTCCATTTTGGGCCTGGGCAACAAAAAATTAGCTACTGGTTCTGCCGAAGTGGTGCGAACTGGCTGAATCCCACCACTGCCTATAGTGTACTTTCAAGCAGAAAGCAATTAAGAGTGTTTGATATTACCGTATATGCCGGCGTATAAGATGACTTCCGGAAGCGCTAAACTCAGCGCCAAAGACGGGGGTTGTCTTATACGCTGAGTCGTCTTATACGCCAGAAATACTGGTAGTTTCCAGCGTATAAGATGACGTTCTAGGAATGCAGCTTGGCGATAAAGACGGGGGTCATCTTATACGCCGGATCGCCTAATACGCCGGCATATACAGTACTCTTTGTGCTATCCAACAAGAAGCAGATCAGTGGTGAGAAAAGTAAGATCCTTAGGCAGGAAAAACCAAATGCACAGATACAGAATAGGCAGTACCTGACTCAACAGTAGTAATTGTGAGAGGGATCTAGGTGTCCTGGTGGATCATCACTTAAGTATGAGCCAGCGGTATGCTGTAACTGCCAAAAAGCCAATGCACAGGCTCCATCAACAGAGGGATAGTGTCAAGATCACGAAAATTGATAGTATTCCTCTGTTCTGCACTAGTGAGCTCACACTTGGAATATTGCATCCAGTTCTGGTCATCATGATACAATAAAGATTCTGAAACTCTAGAACAGTGGTTCTCAACCTTTTTAATGCCGTGACCCCCAACCGGTCGTAGGTCGAGGACTGCTCAACCGGTCGTAAGTCGAGGACTACTCAACTGGTGCAGCACCGTTTGCAGAATGGGACTTTTGGCGGGCTCAGCACGGCAGAGACAGTCTGGACAATTCCTATTGGCTTTTGAAAGCCAATAGAATTAAACTCTATTCAAGAGAGTCTATTCTATTGGCTTTCAAAAGCCAATAGAATAAAAGGGAGTAGCACAGCTAAAGAAAAGGGGGGAAACATGGCGGACTGCATTGTTTGGCAACGCCCGTGAAATGGTCGTTCGACCCCAAATGGGGTCCCGACCCACAGGTTGAGAACCACTGCTCTAGAAAGAGTGCAGAGAAGATCAGCAAAGATGATGTCTGGAGGCTAAAGCCAATGATGAATGGTTAAGTAATGAGGTATATGAAGTCTAATGAAAAGAAGGATTAGGAATGACATGATAGTTGTCTTCCAGTGATCGAGGGACAGTCACAGAAAAGAGGTCATTGACTTATTCTCAAGGGCAGGATAAGAAGCAATGGGTGGAAGCTTGTTTTTTTTTAAAAAAAAAGATACATTTTTATTTTATTCAGAAAATTAAAATACAAAACAAAGGGGAAAAAGTTTATAAAGACAAAACAAAATTAGACAAAAACATTAAAAATGTGAATTAAAAGGGTAAAACACAAATATATATGTTATCCCCTCCTAATTGAACACTGACAAATATATTGCAACAATAATAGTTTCCCCCCCTTGCAAAACACATCCAAAATTTATAAACTTGATCATCTATTTGCAACTCCATTTGACATGTCATACATTATATATATATATATATATATATATATATATATATATATATATATATATATATATATATATAAACTAACAGGTTAATCAACAGCAAAGTTAAACTTCAAAACCCTCTGTTAACAATCTGTTATTGTAATTAATTCATAAAAAGTCTACAATGGTTTCTTATCTATCATAGATAACCTCAATAATCTCCAATCCATCCAGGATCAAGTATCTTCATTTGGCTCTTAATAATAAAATCTTTCCTTAGGATTTTAATTGAAAACTTTCCGAACAATTGCATCTCATTTCCAAAGTTGATAGTCTCTGTTATAAATATCTCTGCCACATCCATTGTTCTAAAAAATCTCTGGGTGGAAGCTTGTTGAAGAGAACTCCAATCTAGAACTAAGGAGAAATTTCCTGACAGTGAGAACAATTAATCAATGGAACAGCTTGCTTCCTGAAGTTGTGGGTGCTCCATCACTGAAGGTTTTCAAGAAAAAATTGGACATTCATTTCTTCAGGATGGTACAAGGTCACCAGCCTTGGGCAAGGGGTTGGACTAGAAGATCTCCAAGGTCTCTTCCAGCCTTATGATTCTATGTTCTATAACGTAAACAATTGCCCCTCTCAAAGAGCTATCCATCAATCCAAGTCAAAATGCCTATGGAGGGCATTGTTCAGAGATTAGAGGGGAGGGCAGGAATCCATGATAGCCCTTGAGTGTCATCATTGCTGACATTGTCAGTGAAATGTCATAGATTGCTCATATGGAAAAGTGAGGAGGGGAAAAGCTAGTTTAATACTGGAAACATTGAGGGTTATTAGGCTAAAACTGCAGGAAGATGAGAAAGATGGTATCATGAGGCCATGTCATTTAAAAACAGGCATCTTCATGTCTTGGGAAGCAGAAGATGATAATGATCCCAGTTAAAAGTCCAAGTTGAGTTAAACAATCCATAGACTAAAAGTTAAAAAGCTGCATTTTTAGGATTTGGCTTTCGTCATCATCATTTTTTTTATTAGGTCTGCATCTATTACATATACAGAACCCCATCATACTTAGTTTGAAAGTCAATAATCCAACCCACGGGGAGTGCATCAATCCATGTGAAAAAAGCACCAACCATAAAAACTCTGGCAATCAATTTTACAGACCTGAATAAGACTTCATTTTAAATGGGATTGTTTGTATGTAATATACATATATACACACACACACATACATGTTAAATATTTAACTTGATTCCTGATTCAATAAATTTTCTAGGTTTGCACAACGCCCTGCAGAATCATGGATTAGCCAGAAAAAAACAAACATGTTTATTAAAAGGCCAACATTCCCACCAGGGCCTTTCCCTTTGGCTGCTTCCAGAACGAGGCAGGACCAACCGGTCATGCTTCGGAAGAGGCAGACGGGCAATCTGGATGAAAGCAGAGGAAGGGAGAAAAGTCGTGGCCACGTATGGGGTCCAGGTTCAAGGAATCATGTCCTCTTCTGGCCTCCCAGGCCTCCAGCCAGGCTTCCCCCCAAAAAAACTTTTAAAATCCAGGAAGAAAATAATTTAAAATACATATATATATTATTTCTGTCTCCCAGAAGACTTCGGGAGAAAACCTCCCAGGGCCGCTGATGTTTGGGAGCTGGTGAGATATATTCCTGTGGCAAATCTCTTCTTCACCAGCGACATCTGGTAGCCGCTGCCCACCAGCTCCACATAGGCCCCCAAGGTGATGCTGCCCTTGCTGGTGAACTGGGCGGTCACTGGGATGGGCCTTCTGGGGCCGTCCAAGCGCTCCCAGCTGGCCAGGAGGTGGCCGGAGCCTCCCTGGCCCTGGGTGCTGGGGATGCCCAGGAGTTGCCAGAGCAGGCGCTTCTCCTCCTGGTTCCGGCAGGCCTTGGCCAGGGCTGGACATTGGCCATGGGCTCCTTGATGGGCAGCAGCACCTGCACATTGGTGAGGGCCATGACTGAGCCAGGGCAGCAGTATAGCAATAGTCCACGCTCACCCGGGTGGCCTCCACGACGCACTCCCAGCTGCAGCCCCATCTGAGCAGGATCATGTTGTAATAGGGGGTGGCCCCCACCTGCTCAGCTTGTTTCTGGAAGTGTCCAGTCAGGGCGGCCATGTTGAGCCAGAAGTTTCTACTGCTGGGGTCACTCTGTGAGGAGTCACTGAAGAGTAGGCTAGCATTGGACAGGAACTGCTTGATGGGTACCATGTGCAGCAGGCAGAAGCTGAGGACTGGGAGGGCCAGAGCACTGCTGAAGACCCGGATGCCCCTGGGAAGGACATGGTCAGCTCCCTGGTGACCTTGATGAGGCAGCTGTCCATCTTCTGGCCCTTGAAGTAAATGTGGATGTATTCAGTGAAGGCCGTGGCCATGGGCAGGGCACCTGGGAGCCCAGGACCACGGGGGAGGGCCCATGGGAGATAACCAGGGCCAGTGGTGGCTGCTGCTGCTGTTGGGGGGCCATGAACAGGCCGTGCTTGGTCAGGGCAGAGGTGCTCTGGGAGGAGGTCAGAGCAGGCAGTGTGGCAGGGCTGAAAGAGTGGGGCATCTCGGCTCCAAGGCTGCTGGCCAACATGGCCGAGAGCCTCTTGCAGAGGGCTTGCTGAACAGGACCCGCCCTGGGCGACCAGGGGGCATGTGGGGCCGAAGGAGGGAAGGGAACGTGCTCAGAGGAGGCATCCGAGGCAGACGGGCCCCTGTTGTCCAGGTCACAGTTTTGGGGGGCCCAGGGGGAAGGGCTGATGGAGACAGAGTGAAACTGTTTTGTGGCCAAAATATAGTGTCCAAAGCTGGGTTTTTGTGATAAACTAAACCATAAAAACCTAAACAGGGTTAACATTAACCAGGCTTAGAATATAATGCCAATTTGATGCTAGGTCTAACTTACCTAGTTAAATAATTTGCGCAAGCCCAGTCAATGTGTGACATCCATGCTTAGCTCTTGACTTGTTGTTAGAACAGACTGGCAACTGTTTGCGTGGATGAAGTCATCTCCATGGATCTTCATCTCACTGTCAAAGCATCCTCAGTGGAGGGTGATGTCATCCATGTCTGTCTTCCAGAAATGGTTGTCAGCTAATTCCAGCAGTTGGGCAAGATGCAGCCTCAGTCACTGGTAAACAAAGTTAATACAAAAAAAAGCAATATTTTGTGTGCTATTGCAACAACTTTATTCTAAAAACACTTGTGTTGTTACTGTATACATAACGTATTCTTTGTGGTGTCACGTTACACACATTAAAAAGAAAATAGAATAAAATAGAAGCTGGCAATATAAACATTACATAATCTGTGTAACCATCAAGTAAAAGTAGCTAATTCCATTGAGGATTAAAATTAATTGAAATATCTGGGCATATAAAAAGAAGCTTGCTTGATACCAAAGAAAGGCTGTGCCAAAATATAAATAAGATATGCCCAAGACATTTTGCTGCCTCAGGCAGAGATCCAGTCACCAAAACTAAAACTTGTGCCAAGTTATTTTGGCACTCTCTTAGCAGCAAAAACAGAATAATTATTAAACATGCACACAGATTCTTAACCATTCATTGCTGACTTAACATTCAAACCCTGCAACGTAAGGCAACTACCTGGGTACAACATATGACTCATATGCCCTTAAAAAGTATAAAACTGTTCTTTGGAAAGCAAATATGATCCATGTAACAAATCTGCAGGCAGTCAAATACCCCAATTTAAGTTCAGTGAACTTTAAAATATCTGCTAGAGACTTAAGAGAGATGGCCCCCAAAAATCAGTCATAATGAAAACAACCCACATAACAGAACAATATGTCCCCTAGGAAAAAAAAAGGGAGTAAGAGGCTATGATAGAGATGTGTAAGACTATTGATAAAGAGACAACAGTTTTTTATTATTATCATTACACACAAGAAGTAGTAGATCCTGACTTTAGGGACCCTGGAAGCCAAATTTTTCTTTTGGTTTTTGCCAAGCTCCACTGTGTGCAGTGGATTACAAGAACTGGGCTACAGAAATGCAGAGCATGCTAAAAAAAAGAGAGAGAGAGAGAGAGAGTAAAGGTTTCCCCAGTCCAGTTTTGTCTGACTCTAGTGGTGATGTTCATCTCTGTTTCCTAGCTGAAGGAGCCAGCATTGTCTGATGACACTTCGTGGTCATGTAGCCAGCATGAGTATACACAGAAGGTGCACAGAAAGTTATTACCTTCCCACCGGAGTGGTACCTATTTATCTACTTGCATTTGCATGCTTTCAAACTGTTAGATTGACAGGACCTGGAGCAAGAATAGAAGGTCACCCTGTCACACAATACTTGGGTCTTAAACTACTAATCTTTTAGTGATAAGCCCAGTGTCTTACCTGCTAGGCCACTGTGCCCTCAGAGAATGCATTGAATAGCAACAAAGAGATACAGAAATTTTAATGTCTCATGAATTTTGGCAGCCCAAAAGTAGAATCATTTTTTTTAAAAAAAAAAAATCTCCTTTTTCCTTTTCTTTTCCCTCTAGCCAACTGTTAATCCTTTCTCTTCTCTCTAAAAGTAAAGTTAAAGACACATGTGAGCTCAGTTTCTTGTACACGTAATGTTCATGGAAACAATTAAAAAGAGGAGGGGGGAGTTGCCAGTGTGTTCTTCCAGCATTTCTCAGTTTAAGGTAAAGCCCTTTGATTTTCTGGTGATTGTATATCCAAGTTCTAACCAAATCTGACTCTACTGGGCTGAATTCCTTCACTTCACTGCAAGAGCAGCTACCTCTTTCTGCCATCTGGTAACTTCATCTCTTACGCCCCAAATCGTCTCAAGTTACAGTTGCCTTTCTTCAAAAGAAAAGGCAAATTTACCATTTGCTTGCATTCCAACAGAATTATACAATAAGCTTTCGTTACATCTACATCTTTCTGCAGCTGAGATTTCTAAAGGGGCCAGAGGAGAGAAGAAATAACTGGGAAGATGCATGCAACCGTCTGTACAATAGTGCTTAACATTTCATGAACCCTTCTGAATTTTCAATAGTGGTAGTCCTTGACTTATAACCACAATTGAGCCCAAAGTTTCTGTTGCTAAGTGAGACATTTGTTAAGTGAGTTTTAGCCCATTTTATGACCTTTCTTGCCACAGTTGTTAAATGAATGACTGAAGTTGTTAAGTTAGTAACACGGTTGTTAAATGAATCTGTCTTTCCCATTGACTTTGCTTGTCAGGTCAAAACAGATGATCAGATGACCCTGGGACAGTGCAATTGTCACAAATATGAGTCAGTTGCCAAGCATCTGAATGTTGATCACGTGACCATGGTGATGCTGCAATGGTCGTACGTGTGAAAAACGGTCATAAGTCACCTTTTTCAGTGCTTTGAACGGTCACTAAATGAACTGTTGTAAGTCGAGGCCTACCTGTATTTCTGCGGAGGTATGACCTAAAATGTGGTCTATTCTTAAACAAGTCCTAAGATTAGACAGAGAACTCAATTAAACAATTGTTTTAAAAAATGCCTTTTCAATTATTCATTGAGCAAAACGATCCAAACCTCCATCTTTGTGTGTGGCAAAACTACATGAACCTTTGCTTTCAGTTACTTGAATATCTTCTTTTGGCAGCAATAACAATTAAATGTTTCTATATGCATTTAAATAAACATGCTGAACTATACTGCTGAATAGCGTATCTAAGTATAATTTGTTCACCCAAACGAAGGTCAGCTAATTTTGAGTTTTTACTATGGAAGAAAATTCTGGAACTGTCCACACAAAACCTTTCAAATTTGTCCCCTAAATTTTGGTGCAAACAAACTGCATGAAACCTATTGTTGCTTATCATTCTGACAAAATAAAGTCAACAGTGAAAATTTATAAGTCAAAGTCTTTGAAATTAAATTTGCAAACTCTTTAAAACTTATTTTTAACTGTCTTCCCCTTGCCCATATTCTTTCTACAACCCAATCCTCTCTTAATTCATATCCCCCATCCAATTTAAGCCACATATAAACAGTAATTAACCCTCTAATTGGTTTAGTTTAAGGAAGTGCTTCATTGAGCTCTGGTTTTTTCCCTTCTCAGATCATTTTGTACTTATATTTCCCTTCTCAGATCATTTTGTACTTCTATATAATATTTTGCTATTTTTTGTACTTTGTTCATTTCCCAACTAGCATGAAACAATATGAAATATTTATTTTATAACTATCAACAAATCACTACATTCCAAACATCAGGAGAACTTTTCATTATATTGTCTTATTAAAGAATACCAATTCTTCAAATATCAGATTATTCTCCATTGGTTCATATTCTTCTCCTAATACATAGAAATTGTTTATCTTTCTTATGATTAAAATAATATGGCTTGAAAGACAATTTTCATTTCATATCATATTTTGCTTTTAAGTAATTCTTCCTTTAAAGGCTTAAATACTTTTGTTTTTTTGGAACATAGCTAGACTAATATTTTTTGGGGGGAAAAGACTTTATCTCCCTTCTAATTTATACATTCACGCTCATCAGCATTTTGCAAAATTCTGTCTCTCACCCAAGCATTTTATTTATTATAGCCCTTGGTGTTTGCATCTGATTAAACCTAGATCTGATTAAACCTATGGCCATGTTCCACATCTTTAATCTAAAAGCTTTAAATCAGGTTGTCAATCTTCAAACGAGTTTGGCTTGTAATGATAAGGTAGCTTGTCATGAGGTTTTGAGACAAGTTATCCCATTGAAGAAGACTATTCTACATTTTGTCAGATTCCTCTAATTAGTTAATTATTTCTTCGATTCTGATCCTGTATATCAGCCAGTTCAGGTCCAAAGTTTGTAACATATTTTATCATCAAAAGCATGCTCAATTTGCATCCCAATATCAGATATATGTTAGCACTCAAACCAACCTCTGAAAGCTGACAATACAATTCTGTTAGTTGTTTATTAACTTGTTCAAGTTTACTTGCCCACTCCTTTTGGATTATATTAGTTGACTTATCCCATTTTGCCTGTACTTCTGGTTGTTGCTTAACTTGATTTTCTATTCAGTCAGTTTTAGCACTTTGTCCCAACTGTGTTTAATGTTTACCTTTTCCACTGGAACCTGGTTCTCCTTTGCCATATCTTCTTCATAACTAGAGCGAGGTGCACTTCAGCTGAATCATTCATGTAAGCCTTAATTCTTCTATCTTTTTAGAATTTATTTATTTATTTATGAGACTTATATACCGCTTATATATTGCCTTTCTTATTCATCTTCTTAATACTATTCCTGTCTGTTATTTGACTATTCAGACAAACATGAATGATGAAAATTATCAGACAAGCTGAGCTGGGAAGAAAGCCATCAATTCAATGTACCATGGTTCTCGGTTACTAACCATGCCGTCCCAATATTTTTTTAAAAAAAACAGGATCCTGTCTTAGTTGGGAGAGGCACATCACAGGTAGTCCTAAAGTTAAAATTACCATTGGAAAAAATTGTGCTAAGCAAGACGGTTGTTAAGTGAATCACACCTGATTTTACAACCTTTTTTCAACAGTTGTTAAGCAAATCACTGAAGTTGTTAAGTGAACCAAATGGTCATTTAGCCAATCTGGCTTCCCCCCAGACTTTGCTTGTAAGCAGCTGGCTTGGGAAACTCACCAATAGCCATCACATGACCCCAAGACAAAATCTTGCCAGACTGAGGACTCTATTAACTGCATCTAAAATATATTCTGTAAAATATGAAGGAGAGGCTGTCTTCACCCTTTTTACAAAATAAAAAAAAATTCCTGTGGATTTTATTACGATAGTCTTTGCCGACTATAGGGGGCGGTGTTCATCTCTGTTTCAAGGCCATTGAGCCAGTGCTGTCTGAAGACATTTCCACAGTCATGTGGCCAGCATGACATTTTGGAATGCTGTTACCTTCCCAGCGAAAGTCACCCAGAAGTGGTACCTATTTATCTACTCACATTTGCATGCTTTCAAACTGCTAGGTTGACAGGAGCTGGGACGAAGACAAGAGCTCACCCCATCACTTGGCACTCAGGTCTTGAACCTGGGCTGCTGGCTTTCCAGCTGACAAGCCCAGCATCTTAATATAAAATATCTAAATTAAATTGCCTCTTACATTTCTGGAATATACCCCCTCCCTCCTGGGAATCCATCATCCATCACCTTACTACATTCCATCACATTGGGTGTGCAATGGAGGCCATTTCAAGGCTATGTTGAGTATGCTTTTTATGATTTTCCAGCTGGGTTGTTTTTTAGTTCTTGTTTTATTTTAATATTTGTATGTATTTTAATTGTTTTTAATGTTGTGAGCTGTCCAGAATCACGTACGTGAGAAGAGCAGCTATATATGTTAAATAAATGAATTTCAACCCATTTTACATGTTTTAATAGCCTTCCCTTCCCTGTAATGCTTTCTAAGGGACAATGAGATACAATGGGACACTTTTATCACTAAAGTGGGAAGGAATTGTAGCATGTTTTTAATAAATGTTATTCTTCACAAAATATGGGTATGTAAGAATACTTCAGAAAACATCGAAACCAGGCTTTAGATAGAAAAGATTAAAATATTCCTGGATTGACTAAGCCATAATGTGACTTGTTTAGCATTACGAACAAACCCAGCCACTATGTTTTGTAAAGCATATGGTTTAGTGACTGAATGAACCCAACCAAGCATGATTTATTCAACAAACTATGACTAAAACAAATAATTTCATACAATAGGCAAATTCAAATATAGTCTTAATACAGCCACTCGGATCCAGGGTATAGCTGTATAGAGACTGCAACTCAAAGTTCATTGCCAGCACTGCACCAACCTGAGAAACATTGCAATATTGACTTAATGTGCGTTTCATGATTTAGTTATGCCGATACGGTTAATTGACAGCATGTAATGCTGTATGTTTCTATTCCATCATTTCATTTCTTTCAAGGACAGGTGACTTCAGCTTCACTCTTAGTTTTGTTACAATGTTAAAAAAATGTTATGATGTTCAGATGTCGCACTAAAAGATAATGTTTTTATACGGTTGTGATTTAGAGTTATATGACACTCAGACCTTAAATGTTGTATAGTATTGTTTACAGCTTATTATGATAAGTAAACATTGCCATAAGAATTTTGTTTAGTAAATTTATGATTTAAAAACACTAGTTTAGCATGATATGGGAAATGAACCACAGAATTGCCTTTTAATGCAAGATAGTTTAAAGCAGTGGTTCTCAACCTGTGGGTCGGGACCCCATTTGGGGTCGAACGACCATTTCATGGGGGTCGCCAAACAACGCAGTCCGCCATTTTTTTTTTCTCCTTTTCCTTAGCTGTGCTACTCCCTTTTATTCTATTGGCTTTTGAAAGCCAATAGAATAGACTCTCTTGAATAGAGTCTAATCCTATTGGCTTTCAAAAGCCAATAGGTATTGTCCAGGCTGTCTCTGCCCTGCTGAGCCCACTAAAAGTCCCATTCTGCAAACGGTGCTGCACCAGTTGAGTAGTCCTCGACTTACGACTGGTTGAGTAGCCCTCAACTTACGATCAGTTGGGGGTCGCAGCATTAAAAAGGTTGAGAACCACTGGTTTAAAAAGTCAACATCCCTTCTCAGTGAGTGCACTAAAATATTAAATATATATTTATTCAATTGAATGCAAATTTATCTAGTTTCTTAAATAACAAAATATAATAAATTCTAAAATAGCTGATCTCAAGAAGATGCCTGTTTCTAGCAATCAGGATTTGCAATTAGCTTCAGCTTCAGTTCCTCTTGAGATTAATCCAAGGAGAAAATGAAACATTTAAACCCTGCAGGATGACTGCATTTCAAGTGTAAGCCCAGTGGTGGGATTCAGATATGTGAACAACCGGTTCTCTGTGTGGATGCCGCTTCCAGAAGTCCGTTCTGGGCCTGGGCAACAAAAAATTAGCTACTGATTCTGCTAAACTGTTGCGAACTGGCTGAATCCCACCATTGAGTAAGCCCCTCAGTTAAATTCTATACTCATCCAGCCAGAAGTTTACAATTTCTCTACAGAATTTTTTAAATTTTTCGTAATCCAGGGTTTTGCGCAAGCAGTTCAAAGAGGCCCATTTTAAGCAAGAATCCCTGATTCTCTGGAAAATTAAAAAATAGCTTAACAACTAGCTAAATTAGAAACAATAAACAACTTGGTAACTTACAAGAGCCAGAAGGATATTTGTATGCTATTTCTGTTAAAGTATTCAATCTTCTCATGGTTATTGGGAGGCAAAAAAAGGAGGATAATGGCTACTACCATGCAATAAAACCCCTGCCTTTTTCAGTATCACATAAACATAAGAAAGACAGGACTTCAATTGCATGATTGTAGCACAATCTTGATTTATTTTTTTTATTTTTTTTGCCACTGCTCCCTCACACCCCCTCAGCCTCACCAAAACATTGATCTCTGGTGAACATTTTTGCTTTATTTCATTCCTATGAAGTCCAATGAAACCCTATCCAGAAAAACAGCATGACCAACTGAGATTTGGATGCTGTAAAAAAATTAATCAAGAAAGCTTGAAAAATAGAGCCTGACAATGATGGGAATCTGGGCAGAGAAAGTCACAGAATGAGTGCTTTAATAAGAATACTGTATGGAATGGGTGCTTTAATAAGAATACTGTAAGTCTTCAACTTACAACAGTTCATTTAGTGACCGTTCAAAGTTACAAGAGCACTGAAAAGAGTGACTTATGATTATTTTTCACACTTATGACCATTGCAGCAAACTTATGGCCACATCATCAAAATTCAGATGCTTGGCAACTGATTCATATTTATGACGATTGCAATGTTCTGGGGTCATGCAACCACCTTTTCCAACCTTTAACAAACAAAGTCAAAAGGGGAAGTCAGATTCACTTAACAACTGTGTTACTAAATTAACAACTGCAGTGATTCACTTAACAACCATGGCAAGAAAGTTTGTTAAATAGGGCAAAATTTACTTAACAACTTCTCGCTTAGCAACAGAAATTTTGGGCTTAATTGTGGTCTTAAGTTGAGGACTATTTGTACTATAATATTGTGAAAAATAATACTTACCCTTATATTAAGAGTAATATGTCTAAAGAGAAATGTCACAAGAGTAAAACAATAAAACCTTTATATGTATTTTACTTTGGCATTAATCAACTTCTGTTTTTTATGTCAATATAAGTCTATGCTTAGATAACCTGTAAAATTCTGTTTGCAGGTAAAGTCATAAAACAAATACATGCCCAACCTTATTCTTATTGCAAAGCAGAAACCGGATACTCTGTTGCTTCCTCTTATACTAGCCTTTCTTCTCCGAGACACAAACCAAACCCATAAGGAGAACAGCAAACAAAACTAACAGCTTAACAAATGGGGCTTAGAAATTCTACACCACTGAAAATCAAAGAAGCCCAGATTATAATGCTTGGACTTGATTCATCTGGGAAATCCACTCTTTTATACAAGCTAAAATGTAATGAAGTCTTCCTAACAGAGCCAACAATTGGTTTTAATGTGGAGATGATTAAAACATCAAAAGATATGACCTTAACAATATGGGATGTTGGAGGTCAGCAGAAAATGAGGACTGCTTGGGACAACTATTTGGAAGACATGGATTGCTTGGTCTACGTGGTTGATAGCTCTGACAAGTGGCACTTGGAAGAATCAAAGAAAGAGCTGGAGCTTATTTTAAGACACGACAGTATAAAAAATGTACCGGTGGTTGTCCTGGCAAATAAGCAGGATCTTCCTGGAGCTCTGAGCGCTGAAGAAATAACTCGGAGACTCAACATGAAGAAGCACTGCCAAAACCAAAACTGGTATGTACAACCCTGTTGTGCACTTACAGGAGAAGGACTTTCAGAAGCATTCCAAAAGGTGGCAAAATTTGCAAAATCTTGCATAAAATCTAAACAAGAAGGCTTTGCAATTTTCAAACAACTTTAAATTATCAATTCATAATCTGGATAATTAACCCATTGCTGGGGCAGAACAATACTCTGTTCATTAACCATCTGATTTTGTAATATGTTTTCTTAATTTTTTTATAAAGTGAAATATTTGTGACAAACTTTGGGCTAATCACTTATTTCTATTGGCCTTCAAAAATATCCTGTTGCTCTAACGAAAGAAATATGATTAAATCCTGAAGTATGAAATTGCAAAAAGAATAAAATCAGCCACAATATGAATGGTTATGGAAGCGTGTTCATGTCATCCATTTTGCATCCAACAATTATGTAATAATTAATGTAACAAATTGGAAGTTTCTGCAATAAGTAATTGGAAATGATTAGACAAAACCCTACTTGTCATTAGTACGCTATTAAAATAAAATCAAATAAAATATAGATTTGCAGTACTGTCCTAAAGTTTATGCTAGCATATCTCCCCTACAAAGATAAAATGTTCAATATAATATATAAATAGTAAAAATATGTTTTATTTTAATTAAACCAGGTAAAATGCACAAAAAGCTAAAGTATTTTTTATCTAATTATTTGTTTTACAGCTGCCCAAAGTAATTATATCCCAAAATAAAACAGAGAAGACTTCTCATAGAAAATCTTTAATATAAAGTGTCTTTAATTTTCATAACGCAATAGTATCCAAATTGCCTTTAAGAATTCATCTAGTATAAACATTTAACACTAATTGTTACCAGAGATATTTTATCCCAACTTTGTTTTCATGGACAAGAAATTCTCTTATAAAGTACGTTCACAAAGATCACAAACCACAGTAGTTAAAAGGACCCTTTTAACAGTTTAACATCTTTACTAGATGACACACTCACAAACATATGTTCCATTTATTTCATTTTTAGTGATATCTGTATAAAATGTACAGAATCAGAACCTGGGTTTTGCTTGTCCAGAGAAATACATTGGTAATTTTGAAATACCTTTTATACTGGAACAATGCAATGAGTGTTTGATGCATTGCTTTGTTGGAAAATGTTTCATAAAGCTTCTCATAAATCATAATAAGTATAATAATCTTTTCATTGGTGATATGAAGTTCCAACTTTCAGTTGGCTTCTAACTGTCATAGAATATCATGATAATAAAGCATTTGCACCTATGAAGAGAAATGAACAAGTATCTTATAGAGATATCTATTATATCTGCATATTTTTAGTGTGTTCAAATTAAATAGTCTGCCTTAGTTGAATTTTTCTCACTTCAGCCAATGGATTGCAATGATTACATGGTAGCCAATTAGTATTCTTGCTATGGCTTTCCTAAGTATAAAAGCAACACCATACCACTGTTTTTCACTCCTGAGTAATAACGGTGTGATCTGAGCCAACCCCTGTCCATCTCAATTCAGTGATGCCTAACATGTCAGTGCATAGTAGTTTCATTTTATCTTTTATTGTCTTGAATTTTCCTGTTTCGTGCTTCTTACTCTCCATGTTCCCATTATAATTTGCATAACTTCAGATTTTTCTGAATGGCAGTATCACCAACTAGACATCCCAAAGGCTTTAATCTGGCCACATCTCTTCTTCAATAGCAGGATAAATGTCATCAGAGAACATTATCCAGCACTATATAATTTTGTATTAATATTTTATATTTTCTATCAATGGGGTTTTCATTGTACAAATAGAGGTTTCCCATGGTCTTCTCCCACACACATGAATGGATGCATTTGCCATGGTCACTAAAATGATCATCTATCTCCAGTATATATAAAGGTCTGCTTTCTTTAGCTGGGCAACCGGATTACCATCACATCTTGAGTAACTCTGCTGGGAGTATATACTTTTGGTATACAACACCAATGTTTTTCTTTTCTTTTCATATATTTTATTGATTTTTTAAAACGTAAATCATTTAATAGTTGGTAAACAGTGTGTTTGCCGGGTTTACATTTGTAAAGAAAAATAATTAACAATTGGTTTCTATAATCCATAATCCACACAGTATATTTAGTTGATTTCCCCCTTTCCCCAAAATATCTACTTTGTAAATCTTGAAATAATACCGTTCTTATTATTTTGATAAATACTGTTACATATATGATTTTTCCCAATATTCCTAGAAATAATGATCACATCAATATAATATTTTTTTTCTATCTAATCATTCTGGTTGCCTCATCTTATATCCTGTTATCGTCCTTATTTAGATTTGTTTCTCCCATAAAGTTCAAAGTATTCTTGCTGGTTAAGATTTTCTCAACAGATAATTACATTTAAAGATTTAAATCCATTTTTCCCATATAAACCATCTCAACACTTTTACATTTCTTAAAGAATAGGTAAAAACAGTAAAGAAAAGGAAAAAAGAGCAAGAGTAAAGAAACATAAAAAGTAAAATACTACTTAAAATATATATTTCTCCTAAACTAATATATATTCATTCCCAAAATTTCTTATTCTTTTTAATCATGATTAAAAATATATTTAATCTTTAAATATTCCATTTAATGTGTCTAGTCATCTAATCCTTTAACTCTTATTCAAAACATTTTTTTCTTTTTTATACATTATAATTTCCCTAAATTCGGACACATTTAATTATCTAAAACATTTTCTTCATCTAGGCCATTTCAGCAGTATTATATTACTTATATCAAAAAATAAAATAAAAAGGGGGGGAAGCATACTATTATTGAAGAAATTCATCTCTCTTAGAGTGACATATATATTCAGAATCTTTTCTATTTCTTTAACCATATTCAAAGAAATGTTTCTTTTTTAAATATTCTCTCTGGTAGATCCCATCATATATTTTCTTAATTTTCACTTTGATCTTTTTCCTTTGACCAGTATCTTTCTTGATCAATGGGTTTTGCTGAATCAAAAAGTTTTCCCATATATTCATGACTGTTGCTATAGATATAAGAAGTAAATCGAATAAAGTGTCTTTATGTGAGGCTTTTGCCTTTCCATGTTTCTTGAAAATCTTTTTCTGTTTCTCCTTCTTTTCTTCTCTTATCACTTCCTATCTCTCTAATGTTTTCAACAACTCTCCATTCCATTTTATCCAATCTGGTTTTTTTTTTTGTGCTCAGATTTATTTTGTAGAATTAAGGGATAAGTTGTTTTTTCCATTTCTTGTAAATTTTTTCCCACTAGGATTAAATCATGTTTTCTTGCTTTGTTAAGTTCTGTCTTTGAGTCTTTATTTTCAGTTTATGTCCACTTATTTGTTTTGTCTGCTCCTTCTCTACTGTTGTTTCCTGGAAGATTTTTTTTATGTAAAGTTAACTTAGAGATAGATTGATTTGTTATTTTGGATTTCTTTCTGATTTGAACTCAGTGTTATTTGAATTAATTGCAGTATACTATATATCTCCTCTTGAGAGGTATTTATGTTTTCTTGGTGTATTCTGTCTACATGTCTCTGATCCATGATGGCCAAAAGTTGGAGTTTTCCTTCTTATCTGCAAATAGTTTTAGAGTCCCGGTTAATAGATATTTGTAATCCAAAGAGTTCAAAAAAGATTTTTTTCTAAAGTTTATAATTCTCTCTTTGTCTGCAGCCCAGATTGTTGTCTTTTTTTGTCACAGCTGTTCTTTATTAAAGATTTGAAGATCACAAACACAGATTATCTTTTCCCAGGTTTTGGCAAGTTCTCTATGGAAATCATAGCTGTCATAATCTTCATCCACCACTAGGTGTCAACATCTATTTAGTTTTCAATATGAACAATGAACTTTAAAATCAGAGTCTTAACCATTCAACAATCTTAAATTTGTCCAAAGTTAAATTTTAGCTTTCAAGTTTATAAATTTATTTCTCTACCATATATTTTGATCCTCCATAGAAATTTTAATTCGCCGCTTCTGTTAGTATAAGGATAGAGCGGAAGTCCCCCTCCTTCACTTTTGGAGGCATTTTGCTTCTTGGGGATCTTTTCCAGGAAATTAAGTGTACGTTAGAAAAGGGAAAATCAGACTCCTCACCCAGTTTCAATCACACTGTTTACTGTAGTGCTGGTTAGTTCTTTTGGACTCTGGTTGCAAGTAGCTTGGGCTGATCGATGAAATACAGCCTTTCTCCTGTCGGGTTAGAAGGCTTTCCCCAAGATGAATGGAATGACCGCTGTCATTCCAGAGTCGTTGGGGCACCCTTCTTTCTTCACTGCCTCTCTGGGGCGGCTTGGACCCATTAGAGTCTCCAGGTAGGATGAAAGTTAGCCACGGGAGTGCGGCGGGCCACAAGCCCATGACCAGTCGCTACCGCGCAGGACCGGAAGTCACAATACCAATGTTTTTCATTCATCTCTCCCAGGAACACCCTCTGCCATAATAAGACAAGACAGCAGGGCTTGGGGGAAAGACATATTTGATAGCAATTTCGATATGCACTAAATCAGATAAGATGCAAGTAGTCCTCGACTTACCACTGATAGCTTAGCGACCATTCAAAAGTACAATGGACCTCTACATACAGTACATATGAACTGGTTCCAAAGTTCTGACAACTACCCCTTCTGTGGTCATGTGACCACATTTTGATTATTCAGCATCCAGCTTCTATTTATAACCATTTGCAGAATCCCAAAGTCATGTGTTCTCAATTTGAGACATCTTTTGCTGGTATTTACTGGTATTTAATGGTATTTACTTCTCAGTTTCAGCAAAAGTACCTCATAGCAAACAATGGTTTTGCCTAACAATTCAGATTTACTTAATGACAATGGTGATTCACTTAACAAAAATATCATAAAATTTGGTTGGTCGCATAATGACCCACAACCAACATGACTTACAACTGAAATGAGTAGTCTCAACTGGTTATAAGTTAAGGTCTACCGATAGTACTGAAAGTAACTGTACTGTAGCATGCATTTTAAAGTACTTCAGACTGAGAATTCTTTGGTGCATGTATAACACTTACAGGTTACTATAAATGCCCTGTACCCCATAAAGTTTCTCCACAAATATCATTTTCTGAGCTTTAACATGTTGCATTGTAATTATGGTATAATATTAATCAGGTTTGAAAAAAGATTTCAAAATCCTGACTAACAATGCTAATCATCATGCCAATATGCCCAACCGTAGTTAAAGCCAAGAAAATTATGTCAGAGGATATTATGATGGGGAAGAGTTAAGTATGATTAAAGGACATGTACGATACCCAAAAAGCAATTGCTATGGTGATGAAGCAATGCTATGGCAACATTAGAAAAAGAAATGTCAGTATATCCATACTCATGATAGAAATCTTAACTCATTGTATAAGCTTTGACAAGGGGTGATGAATCTTTCTTCTTCCACCACCCCGTAAGTGGAAAACAATGGATCTCCAAAAGTTGTAGACCTTCAACACTCAGCATACTCTACCACAGGCCAGCAACATGAGCCCCACCTTTTTCTACGTACATTGTACATGGTACAAGCTTATGGCATGATGCCATAACACTGCAAAGGGCTGTTCCCACCAGCCATAACAGCCGGTGGCATTGGGCATTGAAACCTGACATTTGGAGGGTCACAGATCAAAAGAATCAAAGATTACTATTTCCATCTCATCTCCTGAGAAAGGCACCTGTAACCTTTTTTAATATACTGAGCTGAAAGTCAATTCCCTCTGCCCCACAGTCTAGGTCAGTGGTTCTCAACCTGTGGGTCGGGACCCCATTTGGGGTCGAACGACCATTTCACGGGGGTCGCCAAACAAGGCTGTCCACCATTTTTTTCCTCCTTTTCTTTGGCCATGCCCCTGGCACCCAGTGATGTATAAGTGGTTGGGGGTCACCACAACATGGGGAACTGTATTATGGGGTCGCGGCATTAGAAAGGTTGAGAACCACTGGTCTAGGTTAAAAGAGGCAGATTTTCAATGTTTACATATTCAGATCTGCAGTTCAAAGCATCTTTGGAAGAAAGGAGAACTGGTTTTGCCCCATTATCAAAATTTAAGAAGGATCATCTAACAATTTCCAGGGAATAAATATCACTTCACCTTTCCCAAAAGATATTAAAAGGAATTTCACAACAATCTCTCTGGCTCTGTCACCCTCCTCAGCCCTAAGTGAGAGTGTGATATTGTCAGACATCTTGGGCCTTTTACAACTGTATATTACAAAGCAACATCTTTCTGAAAAAAAAAAACTTTTATTGCTTATACTCCTG